GGGACTAGCCTTGGGGGAGTGCCTCTCAGGGGCCTTTCCTGAGGGTTTTGACTGCTTTCTTTCCGGTGTCCATGTCACTGCGCCCTCATTGGGCCGGTGGGACTAGCCTTGGGGGAGTGCCTCTCAGAGGTCTTTCCTGAGGGTTTTGAGGGCAGACAGATTTGTGCCTCTTCCTAAGAGGCAGAGGATGCCATGGTATCAGTGATCTTCCTGCCTCTATTTTTACATTTGGTCAGAGAACAGCATCGCCTGATATTTCATCAATGCTTGCCTAATTACTGCCTCTGCAGTTGACCAGACTCTGAGAGACCACCCCTGGAAAGCAGAGCGCTTGTTCCATGTAAGGTCAAGGTGTCAGGTTGAGCATAAAATCCTATCTATGTGGATACACAGTATTTGTATCTTCACCTTCTTGCTTCTTACCACTGTAATACTCACAAGTTCTTAACTACTAGACTCCACTATCATTTCATCACACCTGCCCGCCACTCACTCTCAGCTGCATGCATCTTAGACCAGATACCTGACATCTACCATTTGTTAGTTAAGAATTGTCACGGCAGGGTGGTTTGGCCAACCTTGGGTATCACTGCCAAGAGTGGATCCAAAGATGTCAAATCCAGGGAGAAAGGTCTGGTGAGCTCTATCTCACACTGGAAGCTTCCAGAAGTTCTGCATCTAAGCATTCAACATCCCTGAAGATACTACAAAGTGAATACACCAAGAAACAATGTGTGTTTTGGCAGATGGAACATCCAAGCTATCATAGAACATTTCTACAAATGTCACCAATAAAATGACTGTTCCGGCTTCATAAACAGCCTTATAAGTGATTCATAATCATATTTCAGGACCTGGATCTTGCATGGATTTTGTTTATGGTTTTTTTTTCAGCATGTTCCATAACATTGGCATGTGAGACACTGTCATTGACACATCCCTGAAGTCATATTCTGTGGACCTTCCAAAATCTCAGCCAATGCACTGTTCAAGCTAGTACAGGCTCCAGCTCAGATTCTGCCCGGTCTTCGGGCAAATCCATTTCAACATGGTAGGATCTTGTCCCACTACAATGCCAAACTCTTTGACACTCAATAATGTGGCAATGTGATGCCTGGCATTTTACCATCTACACCAGTGAAGTTCTTGTCTGGCCTGTCCAGAAAAAGATTCCAACAAACCCAAATGTCATTTTCAGGCCAACCAAAGATGAACTGTTTTCTTTATTATGTTTAAAAAGAAACCTCAGGTTAAAGATATGTGATGTGATACTCTCCGGCATCTGCAAGCCACAACAAACAGAGGCAATCATGCTGGCTACTTTTTATGGTAAGCCATTAACCTTAGTGGAGCTTTTGTGGGGCGGTACAAATGCCATGGACAAGACTGTCGCACACGCACTGACATATGATTAGCTGCACAAGGTGATGATGGTACTATACTGCTTGTATGTAGGTGATCTTTACGGTCAAGTAACTGAAGCCATTGCCATGAAAGACACTACAATGTTGTCAAAGGTAAGTCACGCTCACCATCAGATGATGATGCACTTAGTTTCTCTGGCACTTTAGCAAGACCGCCTCTTTGTCTCTGTTGAAAACGTATATGTGTCTACAGTTTCTTTCCATGGTGGTGATGACTTACGCGACTTATAAATAAAAGTGTCCAAGTGAATTTTCCAGATTCTGGCCTATCAATATGAAGCTGGCTGTAATACTTCGGTAAAGAGCAACACCTCAATTCAGATGGCAAAGTACAGACAAGGCTCGCGGACTCTTAGACTTGAGGGCGCTAATTCCAGGCCTTTCTTCATAATACAATTTGTATATAATGAAGTGTTCATCGCCGTAGGTACATGGTTGTTGCACCACCCAGTGGTCTAATACCAGGATGTCACCATGGGGGCCTGATTGGCGCCCTCACCTGGAATTCTTGCCAACTCTGATCCCCCTTTGCTCTGATATTGCTATCTCACCAGCACAGTCGGACCAACCTTCCATTGTGTCAGAGGTTAACACATCTTCCCAGCATATTTTGGCTGGCGTAGTCACCTTGTATGTTGAGCTGATCATCCTGCCAGATGACGGTCCAGGCACAGACCCTGAGGCATCTGGCAATGAAAACTGACACCACCAGGCATGGTTTAGAAGAAATATTAATACTGGAATAATATTGCCCATCTGCAACCTGGATCCGGGTGTCACCGCAGACTTGACGGTCTAGTCTTTTCCCTTTCCTTTGGGTTTGTTGCAGCTAGAAGACCGAGTAGAGGCATGATGAGAGCCAGCTTGTTTGGGACCTGACTGCATCTGTCATCCACATGAGCAAGTGGAAGAACGAAAGCAACAAACACACCTGAGAGATTTTGGCTTTTTTGGGTTTCTGCACGACAGCAGGCATGGAAGACTGATCAATCGGTTAGTTTACAGCTTGGGCTCTGGGGTGAGAAACCTACAGATGGATGCTTGGAGGATGCAGGAACAGAGGGCCAGGTGTCCAGGTCCATGGGCATCGGTAGCTCAATCTCAGTCATGGCTTGTGCATCAGGTTTTGCAGTGGCTTCAGCCTCAGCCTTCTTTATATTGATCTCCAGGAGTTCCAGGGTGATTGTTAGGCACCTATGCCAGCTTTTCTCATCCGTCTCCACCATTGGACCATAATCATTTCCACTCTGTTTGGACTCCAGGTCCATCTTCAATCAATCAATATTCTCACCGGTCTTGTCGGGCAAAGAGCCATAAAGTGATCGGATGACAGGGTCAATTTCAGGTGATATCAACCAAGTTGCCCAGTCTGTGCCACCATTCATAACAAAGGGAGATTGAACAAATTGGACGCTCACCAAATACAGTTGAAGCCGGTTGGTCAATTTGAGGCTCCGGTGGCAACCAGGTTGAATCCGGAGGAGATATCTTGCGGGTGTGATATGTTGCTTGTGCCCAAGAGAATAGGATGCTAGAGAACCATTGACACATATTTTATTTGATGTGGGCATCTCCTGGACTCGGTGCTGATTTGTAGAGGGATAGAAATTTTCCTGGACCTCGTCAAAAAAGGCCCTCGCACAGATGGTGCAAATACACAGATGCCTGAAATAAATTTTCTCTGGTCCATTCGGTGAAGCGCTGACTGAGTGACAGGTACCACAGCCCATACATTGCATGTTGCAAAAATCAGGCAGAGAGGTTTTGAGGAAGCGGGAATGAAGATAACATGTTCATGTGATCGTATCACCGGAAAACAGTCCATAGACTGCTCGTAGAGTCCACAGTGATAGAGCTCTGGGCACCAATCCTTGCGCATTGTACTTGCCTTATTCCAGTAATGGTTAAGGTCTATCATCTTGACAGAAGGAATGGATGCCTGCATAGCGCTTTGGAGGAGTTCAGGTCGACGTGATGAGGCCAACAGAAAACACATCCTATAATTCCCACAATGGTGTGGCTAGGGTTCCTCAAATTGGTTAAGTTGCGTTTGATAAGTGATGGCGGCAACAGAAGCGACAACAGAAGCGGCCACAATTTGTGTTCGCCATCTATTATTCAATTGAATCAGGGTCCACTAATATAAAATGTAGTGTTGGACCTTGCATACATTATGTATGTATACGCCGCGTGAGGCTGGGCAAACTGGATAAACATATCCTATCTGAGTCAACATGCTGTAGGAACTGTCAGCTCTCAGCCAGCCCAGTAATGACCTGAGCTATTGCAAATGTTTCGAAGGTTGGGGCCTGGCATATTGTTTTAATAGGCCACACCAGTCAAATTTTTATCCTGTGATCAGGCCTGGATCTACCATTGAGAGAGCTGATGGTCCTAACCATTCATCCAGAGGTGCCCTGCACACTCAGTGCCTCTTATGTACTTTTGGATGTTCGCAAGTGACAAGTCTGGGCAACTACAACCTGCGCCAGGAATCAAACTGATTGTGTGAAACATAATAGGAAAATGCCCAACAGATCTATGGCGGTGGCATAAAAGCTGGGAGAAAATTTGTTGAGGACATAAAAATGTGTTACATATATTTACCTAACATCAATGGTGATAGGAAATGAAACCGCCATTAATAAAATTATCAGATCGCTAACTGGATCATTGTGTCAGCAGAAGGGCCTGGTGACATCAAAAGAAGTTCAGGAGCCATACTTAGGAACTCTGAACTGCCAGGTACTGTATGCCTCCAATTGCAACATCTTACACGTACTGGTATGGCCTGCACCAAAGTCAGTCTGAGGTCCACAGCCAGCGGGTTAGTCTACACCAGGTGCAGGTCTAGGTGGCGCCTGGAATCAGGCTTATTGCACGGTGATGCATTTTGATGAATCACAAAGACCGGAGCCAATGGGTCAAGCCCACAGAATTAGCATAAACCTATAGTATGGTGTCGTGGTGACTTGGAAAGTTGACATGCATGAGCATAGAATGTCAAGACTAAAAATCCTGCTGGAACTATGTCAACGGCTCAATTAGGCATTTCATGGCCAGGCATGTTTCATTCACCCACCTGGAGAACACGCACCCAAATTCATCAGCCAGCCACAAGGTCCACCTTGGATTCCCGGTGCTGAACAGTCCAATACCCATGCTGCACTCCACCTCATTTATAAAATACCCTAATTGCCCATCAGGACCATGCATGACACCCAAATCCAGTCGGACAATCAACCTCAAGGAGCTGGGTGCACCCAGCGACTCTTCCTCAAGGCTTATGAGTTGATTCAATGTGGTTGTGGCAAAGGACTCCAGCTCTTGATCAGCTTGGCGTTGTTCAGAGAGTGTGCCCCCTACTGGGGTCCATGATATCGTCAAAGACATAAGGTTTCCTCAGGTGCAGGCTGGGCCAATCCCCTGGTTCAAGTGTACAGCTGATTCCGAAACTATGCGGAATCGCAAAATCAAAACTTGAGCATCAGAAATGGCCGAACAAGGACCCTATAAGCACATGACTGCGAGATTTGTAGTAGCGCTAGTGTAGTATATGCAATTCACTGAAAGACAATGTCGTTGCCATCAGATTCCTCCCCAGAGACACCTGGATTCATGGCAACATTCATTATTTACCTTGATACATACACCAAGACTACTACTGAAAATAATGGCAAAGCAAAAACCAAGGAAGTGAAATCTACGAAAGTCAAGGAACTTGTCTTTCAAGTCTCTGAGTCCAACTACATTGAATTTCTGACAACAATTCTCATGAAGCATGACAAATCACACTATAGGATCACTGAGAGGAAGAAATACACTTTCAAGTACCTCCTTGGCAATTCTCATGGGCGAGTGATCTTTGTATTATTCATAGAAATTAAACTTATCTCACAGTGGTTGTTTATAGACGTGCCGAAGCAATGGATGTCGACAACCAAGCTGATTATGCGGAAATGGCAAAGAAACTCATCTCCAAAGAGCCTCGAAAGGTGAAAATATTTGTTGACATCAGTTCACTCACGTCTATGCTCTTGTTACGAACTGTGCAAGATCTCACACGCGAGGCTACCCCTTTGACACCAGTTCCTGTTCGAACTGTGACATCACTCCCTGTCACGTCACCTGTTGCTCCAACACCCTCAACACTCACTCATTTTTTGAAGTATGCCAAAGACCACCTCGGTGTTGCATTTGCCTCAACATATGAAGCCTCTCTGCAGTGGCATTGGTGCAGGTCCAGATATACTTGTGGACATGGCTGACCAAGATCTTGCTCGAGTTGGTCTTAGTGCAGGTGAACATTATTTGGCTGAAGAAAGGCAGTGTTACATGGTGGAATGGGCCTCTCGCAAAGAGTAGTGCAAAGCTGTCAATAGGAGTGATACAACTGAGTCGGACATTCCCGAGTACAAGAAATTCCAGTATGAGAAGAGATACCATGATGGGGGACGAGCTCGCATCAGTGGAAGTTGTATGAAGCCTGATGAGTGTCCACCAGGTGCGTGGCTATATCCCGATCATTGTGTATGCTGACAAGTCATTAGTGGAGCGAACAATTTTGGACTATGACCTTTACTACTTCTGCTGAAAACAGGAAAAGTTGGGTTATCTTTCCTCCTGGGTTCACCTTCGAGTCAGAGGGTGATCATGCAAATGCAGAAGATCCTTTTATTTAGAAGTAGCACTATGAATCAGTAGAATAGCTAGGCAATATACCCCAAAGCTTGAAAATAACCTTCTGCCCTTATCAGGTGTGATGGCTTGATATGCTCGTACCATTCTCGTTAACCCTTGTCATCAAAATGACGTTGTAAATATGCTTTGATAGCAGAAAAGGCTTGCTCAATAGAATTGTAGTCAGGTGAATATGGAGGCAGAAATACGAGCCTGCATAGAGCTTCTTCCTCAATGAGACAACGGACCTCGTTGCTATGGTGAATGCAGCAATTGTCTAAAACCAAGACACTACGTGGCCCTGGATATGGGTTGGTTAAAGGCAGCTGCAAACGACGAGTCAAATTCTGATCCAAGTCATATAAATGAAACCATACCACATGCTTGTGCAAGAATTGTATAAATTGCTCACTTGTCACTGGTCCCTCAATGATATCATAAGTAATGATTCCATCGAGAGTCAGTATTGGCAAGATCGAGTAGTGTTTGCCTTGTACGAAACACTTCCTTTGGATGCATCTGATTTAGACTGGTCATTGCATGTCAATCACAATAAAATTTGACATACTTCATTCCAATCCTCGATCTGCCATAGCGTTGAATGAGGGTTCTCTCATCTTTCGCAGCCTCATCACCAAACATCAACATTTCAGGGTCAGGTGCAATGTTAGCAATACTATTCATAAAATAGCACATTTTTCTTAGTTCTGTTCGAGAGCATAAGCGGAAATGTGTTTGTGCTTGAAATGTAACTGCGAAAATGTGCGAAGAAGTGTTTGCAGAGACACAAGCACACCATGGCGAGAGTGCAATTCATGCTGTAGCTCATTGAGATAAATAGTAGGGTGGGTGATTAAGAATGGCAGTGATGAAGGCAATGTCATCAATGGTGAGGGTGCGACGCCAGCCTGTATGCTTGCTGTGGATATGAGATGCTGTAAACTCCAAGTCAAGGGACAGAGCTGTAAGGCCTTGTACACAGAGTCCTTTTTACTCAAGTAGATGGCAGATATGTTTAATGGAGTGCCCACGCCGACGGAGAACAGGGATTTGAGCCTTTAGATCATTTGAAACAGTGCAATGGCTTGCATTTAACGACACAGACGCTGCACAGTGCAAATCTCGCAGTCCATATGCTTACGGGGTCCTTGTTCAGCCGTTTCCAATGCTCAAGTTTTGATTTTTGTGATTCGCATAGTTTCCAAATCAGCTGTAACAATACCAATCAGATCGTGACGGCTGTCAATTGAAGAACCCACCTCATTTCTGCCAGCGATGGACCAGCATCCTGATGCAAGAAGACCCACTCCCCTTCCCCATTTCCTGGAGCCATGTGCACCACCCACAATGGCTGACAATCCACCAAGATAATCCACCACTCTCCTAGCTTCTGAAGGGTTGGTACATACGATTGCTTTAGCCACCTGAAGTGACCACGATCCGGTGGCAGATTCAACGGATCCACTTTGCCAGGTAATAAAACATGCCAGTTGCAATCGCTGCCTTCACGTTTGAGAATACAGCCTTCAAAGGATTGTGAGACATCATTGAGAAAGGAGTGTGGTCAGGGTCTTGGGGAATTGACCGTCCTGGATGCAATTTGGTCGACATTGATAATTACATTGAATTTCAGGGAAGCATGCAGCATCTCTTTGGACAGGGGCCATACCGGAACAATAGACTCCAGCATTTGCAGGCCAGATAGGTATTGCTGCAGCAGGGCCAGGCTGTCCCAACCGTCAGCCTGCTCACTTGTCCTGATTTTCAACGATTTGAATTTGGTAACTAGACATTGACTACTTGCCTTGGATCTACCATAAGGTCTATACCACCCCAGATGGAGTGATATTGTTCAAATGTCTGCCGGAGGTTGGGGTTTGGCAAGATCAATATATCCCGAAATTGTTCAAACTTCATGAACTCCATGACTGTTCCTCTGTGTCGGATTCTAAGCCAAAATAACAACTTATTGATTGCCAGGATCAGTCCAGAAACGCCCCCAGTTTT